TTATTTTGTCCCCCAGCATTATCACAAGTAATCTTTAAATGCTTTTCACCTTTATTCAATTTCTTAATTCCATCAAAGATCAAACTAAGAGTTCCATTAGGACCTTTTCCTATAATTTCATTTTCATTAAGAACATAATTGATTTGTTCCCTTACTGCTTCATCTTGAATACCAAATAAATGAACTTTGCGTGGACTAAGGTAATAAATCTTACTTACTTGTTGATCTGAATGTGGCACATGAACATTCTGGGCTCAATCATAACTATAATGAGCAGTAGCATCAATACTGCAATATTGTGTTTTACCCTTGGAATAATGTTGATCAACTAGTTTTCTTTGTTCTTCTGCTAATTTGGTATTTTTATTATAATAATTTCTTTCTAATTTGGATAGATGTTCTTTAAATCTTTTGAGTAGATCTTTGGCTTCATCCTCTTGGCGAGCATTATAATGTAAACCATCTCTAAAATGCTGACAAGTATCACACAAGTCAGTCCTTGGACTCATAATTTGAATCTCTGGTGTCAATTGATGTCACAACTTCCTGAAGGCATCATATTTTAATGATTTCAATTTGTTATTTTCTTCCAGACCAGCCAGAAAATCTCTATGGACTGATTTATAACTCATTTCAGCTGGTAAGAATGTAACTGATTGAGTTATTCTATTGACACTTCTTCCTGGACTTGGTAATCCATGAACTTCTGCATAATTTTCCAGAAAATTTTTTACCACTTCAGCAACATTTTTATCAATTACCATTTTAGTTTTCCATTGAGGCATCCTTTTAATATTACCATGAATTCTTGGTAAAAGACCATTGTTTATCAGATGATTTCTGATATTTTCAAAGTAAGTTCTACCAATTCCCAACATATTGAGATAAGTTTCTTGACAAAGGAGTGTATTGTGATCTCAGTGATAGAAAGTTCTTTTATTAGATCTATTTTTCTTTTTAAGGCGTCTGCTGGTGCTTATTGATCCACCATCCATTGCTTTAATCTGAGCCATTAAAAATATATCTTGTTCTGATTTAGAAAGAGCTTGAAAAGATTCTCTTAATTCTGCAAATTGTTCCTTGGAAATTCTTGAAGAACAACCACAATTACATCCCTTTTCTAAAAAATCAATTGCTTTTTGATATTCAGCCGAACCATTATACTTATTATTACTTTTCATATACACTTATCCCTATATATATAATTTTATAATTTCATATTCACTTTGTAGGTTTTCATTTATTTTAAAATCAAAATTGGTCCTGTGGTGACAAGCAAAGTGAGCAGAAAAGAATTAAATTTGAATGGATCTGCAAATAAATATCAGAAATATATATTCAATAATTGATATAAAAGAGAAAATAAAAATCTTCAACTGGTTCCATGAAAAATAATTATGTTAGATTTAAATCATTTATTATTACTTAAAAATGGATAAGATAAATTATCTTGAGACCTGAGATCTATTGATCAACTAAAACAGATAAACAAATAAATAAAAGATAATTATTGTTATTTCTAAAAAAACAATTGAAGAGAATTGTTGATTATGCTAAAACAGTAAAGCTGGAATTTTTTTTTTATTGAAAAAAATGCATTTAATCAATGATGCTTTTAGGAAAATTTGACATAATAACAAAGTGCGCAAATAAAGTGCACAAATCAGTTTAAGTCTTGTAAAAAAATTACGCATGCAAAATTTCGTGTTTCCTAAAAAAATTTTTATTATCTGAAAAACAATAGTATATCATTTTAAATTTAAGGGTGGAGTATCACCATATCAAAAATCAGTTATACAAAATGACTAAAACAATTTTATGTTACACGATTTTATTTTGCAATTTAATAAAGTTATTTATAACAGATAAAAAAGTGCAAGTATTTCATGACTGTTAGTATTAGTATAAAGGACATATTAAAGCTTCAACTCCTGTAGTATATAAACTTGAACTAACATAACTGCTCAAAATTTTGAAATAAGTGTCAAAAAATTTATAAAAAAAATAGTAGCTACTCTCTATAATGGATCTTTCTATGATGATGATAATAATAATAATAATAACAGAGGATCTTGCTCTATAACGGACTGAGAATTAAGCCCAATTTATGTGTCCCATATATTGCTAATGGACATTTTTTCATAAACCAAATGGTCCATTATAGAGAGTGAACTATATATTTACTATACTACAACGAAATACACTATTTCCCATCGTTACACTCTTCATTTGCTTTACTTGGTTGTAATTCTATTAAAAAAAATAAGTAATTATGAGTATTGTGAATATTTAATCATAATATTAATAAAAACATATATCATTTGTGTTTTTTACCCACTCATTCACAAGAGTTATTATTTTTTAAAGGTATTTTCTCAGTAACCTACAAAATACATGTTGGTTTTTTTGGTACTGAAATGAAGAGAAAACCTTGAAATATATATTTATATAAATCTTATTTGTAGTTTTTTATTTTATTAACCTTCAAAGTGAAATAAAACGTGATGTTACTCTCAAAAATTATTTTGATCATTTCTTATTAAATAAAAATATATTGTCGATCACTCCACCCTTAAAAGCCTCATAATGATAATAATACTTCTTCAAATATTGGATGTATTGGGTATGCAAGTTTTTGTTGAGCTTGTTAATTCTATTTCATCACTAATAGAGGCCCAGTTAAATGATGAAATAAATTCAACCAATCAATGGACACTATTAATTAAAGAAGTACAACTAACAAGTAAAAAATATTTTTTCTTTATTTCTCATTACACAATTCTGGCTCTGCCAATAGATAGGTATCTAGGGTTAATGTTCATGTATATATCATTGTGCATTTTCAGATACTTTCCCACATGGTGAGTTATAGCATAATATTGTATTATACTTTTGACATTGGAATAATTTGACATTGCAAAACACTTTGGGTTGCATGTATAATTATTCAATTGCTTTGTATTAATAATATCATTTCTTTATTTTTAGATTTAAAAAAATTTTTTTTAGAGTTTTAAGACAATTCTCATCAACTGTTATTGTTATGTCAATGTTTAATTTAAGACCAGAACATTTTCCAAGATATAAAATGATGAGGTTGAAAAAATTTACAACTTGGTAACACTGAAATAAATGATATGGGAGATTTTTATGGATTGTTAATTGAAAAAGAAAAAAAAATATGAAACATGGAGTTTAATATTTGAAGAGTTTAAAGTTTTTTTTCAGCAACATCCAAATATACATATCATAATCAACATCATCTACATCATCTTAGTGATAATTACAGTAGATAAGAATATATATAGATTTGAAGAAAACAATAAATTTTAATAATAATAACCTTGATGAAATTATTCACCTAGTTTAGAATTTTCAAGCCAATTGAGGAATACCTCCATTTTTTAAGATATCCACCAGGAACATTTTGTGATTGTTCTAGCTCAGTAATAAACCATTGTGCAAATATTAGGTGAGTATTTTTATTTGTCAAATATTGCTGAGCAGTTGTTAGCTGGTATAACCAATGGCTTGATATTGGTTTTTGATAAGTTTTTAGAGGATATTGAAGTATTATAATATGAATGAAACTGGTCTTTTCTACAGGTTATTATTTTTTTCCTAATAAAATCTAAGTTTAATTCTAATAATCCATGATATAACTGCCCATTATGTTTAGATTTTCCCTTTTTCTATTACTACATCCTAAAAAATTTCTATTGAAAGTAAAATTTGTTAATATTAATAACATAATTTTTTTACAGGTTAGAACCAGACAAAACATTGGCTACAATATGTCTTTCTGGACATAAAAAAAATAAAGGAAGGCTTACCATTGCTTTGTGTACTAATGCAGATGGATCTCATAAAACAGAGCCTTTAATAATTGGAAAATCCTCAAAACCACAATGCTTTAAAAATGTTAACATCAAGAACTTACCTATTAAGTATTGTAGCAATCCTAAGGCCTGGATGTTAACAACTGTCTTTCAAGATTGGATTCAAGAATTTAATAATGTTACACAGTGAGTCTCGATTTAATGGATATTTTTTTCCAGAAAATTTATCTGTTAAATCGAGAGATCCACAGCATGGTGGAAGTTTGATTTTATTGGATATAAAATGTGACAAAATAAAATTTAGGTTTTTACCAAAATTAGAAAAGTTTAAGGAAAATCAAGATTTATATGGAACGTGTAACGTTGATCACAGCGAACAAAAA